CACCCTTAAAGTGTGTGTGTGTGTGTGTGTGTGTGTATATATAATGTGCATTAAAACTAGTCATAGTTTTAGTGAACAATTCCACTTTTCTGAACAACTTCACTGCTAGAGCAAGACACACCGGCTTGTAAAACAGCTAATTTTGGCATTACAGATTCTATATCTTTAAACCATGAAGTATATTGGAAAATATCTTCAGATTTCACTTGTTTAGAATGTTTAAAACATAAAAAGCATCTGCTTCAAGCTTCATGTCCACAAGCTATCATGGTTATCAGAAACAAGAAAGGGTAGTATTTCTGAATAGTATTTCAGTTTCTTTATTTATACTATTAAGAAATACTCGATACAACAGAGCAACTTACCTATAAAGTGTAAGTACAGAGAGAGAAAATTTGGAAATTAATTTGAATTTAAAAATTGTTACTATTARGTATTGGAGTCCTTACACGTGTTGTATCCTTATAAGTAAAATCACTTCACAAAGTTATTCACAAAATAAGAAAATGCCCTGAAWACACACAGATGTCCATGTTACTGGGTAGAAAGTCATTATTTTTACACTTAAGTGGAAATTCTATATGCCCCATATTCCTCACATCCCATGAAATATGACTTTAATGATCAGAGTGCAGATGAGTAGCAACTGCAAGCAGTTCAACCCTGCATATAAGTGCAACTTCAGTCGTTATTAGAACTAAAATGACAATAACCTTTCCAGGTATCACAGGAATATATTCAGAAAGTAATTCATAATTCATCTAGGACCCAGTGCTGCATTTGACATTAAAATTTCTTCTGTCATAACCAATGCTGTTACTGCCCTACAGAAATCCACTACCTTCATCGTAATCTATCTCATCACATGTTTAAGAGAGACAAATACACTCTATTATTTAGATAAGAAACTGAGAAATTGGCAAGGAAGTGAATGAAAGGGGTATTCCACCTGCCTCAARGGGTCAATATCAAATACTATGGAGCTCATTCATGTAGGTGTAAGGAAAACATTTTTCTGTAAGCTTATATTCTTTTCTACATTTTCATACTTTCTGGTTATTGTTTCTTTTCCAAATACCTGCCCTTTAAATCAGCAGTTTATAACTTGGTTATTTTTCCTTTACTGTTACTGATACATGTATAGTCATACTTTTAAGAACCCTTTTTTGCTGTTATTGCTTGGACATTTTGCATATTTCCCTATGAAGTACTGAAKGCAGAAACACATCAACCTTATTGCAGTCCTATAGCCAAATCTGCCCATTACTGATATACATAGATACACACACACACACACACAGTGACTTCATGCTGAAGAAAAGTTTTGTAGCAACCCAGCTGAAAATAAGTCGGTTTAAATATCTTTAAGCAATCTGTTCAAGAGAGAGCAGAGCACAATATGGTATATTAAAAACATTCCTTGTATATTAAAAAATCTGATATGGTGCCATAGGGGAAATCATTAGCAAAACTGGAGAAGGTGAGGATTAGTAAGCAAATTAAAAATTGGCAGCCTGTGACAGTAGGTGTGACAGGCCCCACTGCGCCACACATCCACCAGCGCCCTCCTCGTCTCGCATCGAACCAGTCCAAGAGCCGGCAGGATGAGGCTGTGCTCCCGGGGCTGGCCACGCAGCAGCACTGAGAAGCAGAGTGCTCAGAGGGACACCATCTAGGAAATCCCTAGGAAATGCACACAGGACATCAGCAGCAGAGGGACTGATCCAGGTTAGCATGTCAAAAATACTGGTTTCTAATGTGGTATTATCTCCTATTTGAAGAGGACAAAGGAAAAGGACAAAGGTGGTCTCAGTGACTCGGTACAGAAATACTAAGAATATGAAGGAATRGATTTAGCAAAAGGGRAAAAAAAAAAAGTGCTTTGAAGAAACACTACGATACTCCCTGTGAGTTTTCCTTTAATGACAGAAAATTTTGCTGTGAAAGCAACACAAAAGGAACAGAATATCAACAGACTGTCCTATGCTCCCTTCCAGCAGCAACTTGTCTGGCTGTTCTTAGAAATTAAAAGCACAGCAGAACCGAAGCCACRCTGACTACATACTACATACACACAGGCACTACATACCTTCCTGGATTTCTTACGCCATTTGCGAAAGGTAAGAGGCCATCTCTGTGTGCGGTAATCCAACAAACAGCCTCACTGGGTTTGAAATTCATCAAAGCACATCTTAAATTACTTATTATGGCATCATCTTGGGCTAAACTAAGAGCCCACATAGGGAAAGAAGCTGCAAGGGATGGGAAGGCGTGAGAACGGAAAGACGACGCATGGTAAGATACCACATGCCTAGACAGAACCTACGTTATTTCAATTTACAGCTATCTAGTCTGCTTGGAAGACACTCAGCAGGAGCCTGGAGAGCTCACTGCGGCACCAGGAACCCACCAGGCTGACTGCAGCACCGCGGCGGAGCGGCCCTTGTAGCGACAGGCTACACTGACCAAGACGCACCGGAGCGTGGATTGATGCTGCAGCTATRGGCAAATCCATCGCGACTTGCAGATGATTTTGTTTGATCAGCCTTGTTTTTTCAAAGAAAACTAAAGATGCTGAATACTCAAACTCCATTTATTTTCAAGGAGAGTATTAGGGGCCTTATTCCTTAGATCCCTGACAATTCCTCTCTAGATTTACTTTGGTATTTCTATGGGAACAGTACAGAAGTTTCTTTAAAACTTACAAGCAGCCTTCTGGTCTGTACCAATCCATAATAAGTGTACTTTTGATTTTCTCTTTGCCATAAAGTTAACTATATACAAAAGAACACAAACAGGTTTCTCAACGACAGTGCTAATAATCATCACAGGSAATTCTGTTACATTCTGTGCTTATTCTCCACTAATTCATACTCCTAGAATGACAGTAGATTGACAACTTCATTTCCAAAGCCCTGTAAATAAATGTGATCAACTGAAATAAAAAAGGAGGGAAAGTAGAGGTCGCTCTTACAAAGAACCATATATGGGCCAGTAAATAAACCCTCTTTATTTCTTAACCGTTCCTACTCACTACTGTTGTTCAATCAATGTGCTATATTATCTTTATAAATGAAGAATTGTTTACTAGGCATAAAGAGRGAAAAATACATATCCCTTATTTCAGAAGACCTATGATGACTGCTATAATTATTCTATATTTGCTAATGCTTTAACTCACCTTCCACTCAGCATTTTATTTCAGCAGAGGACTACAGCAACAAGACCACAGCCGAGCCTGATAATACCTGTGGAACAGGCTGGTGCTGCCACCTTGGGGAGGACTCCTTCTGCGTACTTTGAGGAGCCTAAGCAACCATCATGAATACGTTTCTTTTTGTTGTTGTTGTTGGTTTGTCTTTCCTCCCATTGTATCTTCACAAGTCTTAAATACATCTGTTCATGCTGTCATAAGATCTTCCAGATGTGTCCCACCTCTGAGCACATTACAGTACTGGAAAGAAATGCCTTTTTGTAAGGAAGTTGTTAAGTTGTAGACGCCCGTAGCAGRGCCTTATTGACACTACACTTCACACCATCTTGCCAGCATGTGAGTCCTTCTCTGTCTCCAGCACAGCAAGCTGGGTTCTGCATACAACACCCCCATGTTCCAGGGATTTTAGCCTTCCTGGTGATTCTGGATCCTTGTCTGTGCAAAGCTTAGAACATCTCCTTAGCAGGCTACTGGCTCACTGAGATAWGACTGCTAAGACCCACACTGCCTCAGATAGAGAGTTACTACTGAGTTCAGGCCTGGCCTGAAGAAATTTCCAAATTGCACTGTTATAATTAGATCAAAATCAAGTTCTGGGCAAATTAAGGGAAGCATCTGGATTTAATGGTCACAATATCCTTAAGCTTTATGAGACTGACCAACTGTTTCACTTTTCAAGTGAATGACCCTCCTTTGCTGTTGTTTTTGTGTTTGCATGCACTAGCAGATGAAGGAACCTTGCCACATACTTTATACTCAGGGACACAAAGCCTATGGAGGACTTAGTTGCATGCAGCCCATACACCTGTGAGCTGCAYCTTTTTTTTTTTTTTTTCCTTAACCTAAACCTTGCAGTAGGTGCCTCAGCTACTCATACAATACAAGGAAAGATTGACCTCACCTCTCACCAGAACAGGAAGGTCCAAGAGCAGGGAATTATCTAAAATAAACAGCCTCTGCAATCTTAAAAAAATACAGCACATGGATTATTGCCCAGCTCTCTAGAGCCAGGTAATACAGAAATTATAAGCTCATGTAAATATAGATGAGGAGGCAGTAAAGGCACTAGTTCATCCTCTTCAGCTCCTGCCCTCTGCCAAAGCACTGGCTTTGCYTGTGGTGCCACAGTGGGAGATGAGAAACTTCTGCAAAATCTAAATCTCACTCCATTACTACAAAGAGCAGGAGCAGCCCCAGCACAGCAGTAAACTCACCAGCTCACATTGGAGGCAATGCCCCTGGGCTCCAGAACATCTTTCTCTTTTCTCCTCAGCACAGAGGGCACACGTACCAGCTTCTTATGCAGCTTCTGCAGAGCATAAGAACTGGTAGTGGTGCAAACCTGTAGGGWTTTTTTTTGCCAAATCACAATTATCTTCTATATTTGAATCCATTACTGTTTTCAGACAAATGCCTTCATGCTTGAATTAAGTTTAAATCAGATTTTGAAAGCATCACAAATATTACTTTAAGTGCATATGCACATACATAAACACACATTCAAGAACATGCAGCACTGAAAACAAAATCCTATTACCTTCAGTTTCATGTTAAATTATCATATTAAACTGCTAATAAATTTATATATCTGTCATGCATACCAACTTCATACAAGTAAAAAAACCCTTGTACTATTTACAGGTAACTAGCAAAAAATTAATAGACAGCTCAATTACTGACCAAGCATATCCAATGGGATTARGATCTATTAGTAACAGATTAACCAGAGTAATGTGTACGTAACAGTCTCATTGCGGTACGTTGCCTCTACTGGTTTCAAAGTTCATGTATGAACTTTTATTATGCAGGACAAATGGTATATGAATGAAGTCCGAAGAAAAGAAGCATTTAAAGGAGAATAAGGTAAAGAGCATACAAAATTAATCTAAGGATTTAAGTCTAGAGTGCATAAAGAAAAAAAAGGGAAAAGCACTGCATGATAAAAGCACTACAGAATTAAAAATGGAATACATRATTGCATGTCCATCTTAAGTCATATTATTATGTTACAGGAACTGAATACAAAGCACATTCAGACTGACAAATTACTGAAGACATTCACTTCACTAAGGTACCATTTTGTTAAAGGGAATACACTGCTATTCATRTTATGTGGAATTGATCTCTGTAATACTCTTGTTTTCTGCATTATGAATCTTTTAAGAAAAATCATCATATGTAGAATTCAATATTGCTTGTAACCAAAATATGTTAACTAAGCAACTCTTTCCTGTTGGGCATGTTACTCAGATTACTTCAGAAGATTCTTTTGGGCATGGATTTAATATGTGGGAGAAATGCTGAACTGCATGTGCAAGAACCTAAATAAATTAAAGGCAATCCATAGGATAATTCTGAAATCACCTACAGTCTCTGTAAAGCTACATAAACACAATAGCTTAAATAATCTTTCCATACTTTCTGGGATCATTGATAACTTAAAATCAACTACTTGTCCTGAAGTATGAGCTTCCATCTCAAAAATCTCTGAATTTAAACAACCAATATTTCTATGATTCTATGAATATTTCTGCTAGACATTAATGTGCAACAAAACTCCTTCAGATACTAATTACACGAAAAAAAGATGAAAAAAATGAGAGGATTTACTTCCACTTATAATAATCRGAAATAATACTCACATCTCTTCTCTCCATCCACCTGTCTGCGCTTTTCTTTCACACTAGTTACGTCATAGCAGTCTGAAATATTGTAAAAATGTCCAGAGTCTCAATCTGAACCAGAGTTAGAATTCAGAGCATTGGCTTATTTCAGGTCTTCWTATTTCATTAAGATAAGCTTTCTCTAATTACCTGTATCAGAAAACTCTGCTGGATCATTTTCTATTTCAAGTTTGTATTTGAAACTCAGGACAGACATACTCTAAGCTGTTCTCTGTTGTAAAAAGGTGCTTTGTATAACATAAGCTTTCTTCATTTTCTTAAGCAGGTAAAGATTTTCTTCTTGAAATGACATTGTTTCATTAGAGCACACATTTTTCACCATTCTTTTCTTCCTCCCGTTTTCTGTTGTTTTCAGTCACTCCCTGCATGCCAATGCTCTTTTACTCAGCTGTCTCCCAGCTCCTCCCTTCTCTGCTTTTTGCTGCATCACTTTAGTATGTATTTGCTTTAYCTGTTCCTCAAACTCTTGCTTTATCTGTTTGGTTTTTCTCCCCCAAGTTCCCATAGTGTGGATGCTAGGCTGATGAGTCTATTAGGCTATGGTCTCATAGCTCTGACACCTTCTCTGGCATCTCACTACTCCTAAAAAAATAGGCTGGAGGAGGAGGACATCAGATGAAGATCTGTCCTTGCATCAGACCAAAGGGCATGTGTTGTGCTAACTGTTTATCCACACTGTGCCCTCAAACATTTCAGGCAGGAAAAGTCACTCAAAAACCACTGAATTTTGCTATTCTTTTGTATGTATTTTCTTCAAAGTTGCTAGCTGAAACAGCTCATGTTATTTGTTCTTTGCTTAATGACAGATTGGTGGATAAAAGCATACAAAATGGCAGAGGGCAATGACATGACCATCAACTTTCTTATGCTTGGAAGAACTCAGACTGGTAAAAGTGCTGCTGGGAACACACTGCTYGGCAGCTACGACTTCCAAAGTCACCTCTCGCCAAGCTCCGTGACCACACGCTGCAGCCTGGGACGCAGCAGTCGTGTTTTAGGGATTATACGAAGGAATGGCTGCGAGCTTGCTCTCCGCATTCAAATACTTGACACTCCAAGCTACCCCCACAGCAGCCTGAGCAAAGAGCAGGTACAGCACGAAGTGAGAAGAGCGCTGGCTCAACACTTCAGAGAGGGTCTACATCTAGCTCTTCTGGTCCTGCGGGCTGACTTGCCTCTGTGTCCTGATGACAATGARCAGATAATTCAGTTCATTCAGGTAACAACAAATAAGTAAACAGATGTTTTGGCRTAACTGTAACTCTTTTCTTCAGGTAAAAATGGAAGATGACTCTGAGAACTGCTTTACTTGTTCCTCTAYGGAACTCTATGGAAGAGTTAACTGCAAAGGCAAAACAGAGAAGTACATCTGAAAATTGGAGCACTTTCCAAGTCAGAGGTCTAAACATATTCCATTCAGAAATCTAACCCCGTGTGTCATAGCTACACTTACACTAAATCTGAGAACACAAGAGGTAGGAAGAAGCATTATTGTTCTTGGACTTAGTACAAAGAAATTCAGAAAACTAATTTACCTATTAAAATAAACTTCTCAGGAGCTACATTTGGAGGTTTACTATGGCAAGTCTATTATGGGATGCAGCTAGAACTCTGATTGGTACTCTACAAACTGATGATTCTCTCCTTCAGCACACACTGAACTTTAAAATTCCTTCTCCCAAGGGCTTGATAAACAAGTGTAAAAAGATAAGTGTAAAAAATACTTATTTAAATTAGTTAAAATTCTTTCTTTTTTAAAGATATCTAACTCAACTATACAACTATCATTTTCCTTATTTATGTAGATCTTGTTTTTATACAAAAAACAATCTGAATCAAGAACTGCCTGTTCAATATGACCACTTATTTCCATTAAATGTGATTGTCAACATCTTTGAAGGTCAAAAACCCCAGAAATTTCAGCAACTCAGATAGCATGAACTGGATTGCTGCCAAGAACAGAACAGACTCTTCTGTTTATACATAAGTATATGAGGTGGGAGCAGGGAAGAGAGACAAGAAAAGATAAGTATTTAAGATTTGTTTTTCATTACAGGAACTTCTGGGTCCCACATGGAAGGATTTCACTGCAGTTTTACTTACTCATGCAGACAAGGCAGAAGAGGCTGGATTCAGTGAGGATGCTTATTTGCACAGTGCCTCAAATACTTTGTTATCACTTTTAAGCTTAGTACAGCACAAATACATTTTCTTAGACAACCAGAAGAACATAATTAAAGAGGAAAGAGCTACAATCCTAAGAAAGCTCTTGGATTTTATAAGAGAAAATGATCATCAACGGCTTCTACCTAAACACACAAAGGGATAAGCTTTCAGGTACTCATTTACCTGTTTTCTATTGTATATAACATTTAATAGCAATAAAACCCTTAGAGTCAGCAAACAGTACATTCCATACTCATACTATTTTTAGCTTTTAACAGTCAGAAATCTGTCTTTCCAATTAACTGCCTTTCATAGAGTACCTTGCATTATTCACTGCTGCATCCTGAATCCTAGCTTCAATTACAAACATCAGATCAGGAAACGCTCTAAATCATGCTCCTATATGTGAGTCACAAACAAGATTTTGCACTACATCAGATTGTATATTGGAATCCATTCWGAACACAGATCTGAAAAAAAGAAGTAATACACATATATATGATATGGTAACAGGACTGCGGCACTGTAGGGGGAAAGGCAGTCTCTTAATATAGTGCTCAATTCTGTAAACYATCAAGCAAAAGTTTCTCTGAAGGTCAGAGTTTGTAAAGATCACTCCAATATTAAAAGCTAGCAGCTAGGTAAAAATATTTCTCTACCTTGATTCAAAATTAATTAGAATTGAGAGTTTAAATTTCAATAATTTTGTTTAATAAAACATTATGGAATATACAGTTTACAAGGCAGTTAAAATAGTTCCCATGTGCTTAATATTATTTGGCATATTTGAAAGAACTAATTCCTACTGCTTATTCACAGAGGTATGAAAAATAGCATAGTTAAGCATACAGGCAAACAAAACCCATACCAAAAAAAGGATTCTTATCTTTTATGCCCGTTTCTTTTGATATTATAACAATGCCGTTTTGTTTTTTTCTCTTCAGCTTACTGGATGAAGTTCAAAGCCACCCAAAAAATCCGGGAGACTAAGAAATCCATGTATTTCATTCCAGTGGTTAGAAAAGTGCTTACTGTTTCAGTGGTTAGACAGCAGACAGCTAAGTATTAGATGCTAAAACATATGAACTATCTCCAAATGGTTACTTAAAAGGCTTACTGCAAACTATGCTCCCTTTCAAATTATTAAGGGCCAGGAATTAGAAAATGTCATCTGAAACTATCACAATACCAACTGTGATGACTGTACTAGTTTATTACAGACTTATTCAAACTAAGAACTCAAATAGCTACTTCTTACTTTACAGTATCTTCTGTATAAAATATTGCTTATAAAGAATTTAAAACTAAAAATCAATTTGTCTTATTTATGGCATTGACAACTGACTTTTTTTAAAAACTGTTTGGCAATCTATTCTATTCATTAYCTATTGGTATTACTGTCATTTAAAAGAAAATGTGGTCATTTAAAGGTGAAAAGGTAAGACCCAAGAACTACATTAGCGAAGTGACAGCTTTGATTTTATTTAAATTATAACACTAACTGTGGAAATGTGGAAGTATGTCCATTTGCATATCTTAGAGCATAAAAGGCCAGACTTCAATCTTCATGAGTGGACTGAAGACTATCCAGACAATACAGACAAGAACAGTGTTGCAAAGGTTTATTATAATATCTGAAAAGTGCTTGGGAGTAGGTGAGTCAAACTATGGAAAGATGACAAGAGGATTTGACATCTAAGATGACTTCTTGCACCTCCTGGATGGAGGTTATCAAGTAAGGAACATGTCAGAAAGTTGTCTTTCCTGAGATAGTTTTGCTTAGTGGACTCTCCAAATCTTCTAGCTGCCCAGAGAATATGCTTGTTTGCTGCTTGCTTATGAATCCTCTAGATCTAGTATGAACAAGCCTTGGTAATCAAATCCTAAACACTAAGTAGTTAGTGACTATTGATAATACTTAACCTCAAAGACAGTAAGCAYACGTAATGAGTGAGGTGTGAAAATCCTGCAGGCATTACACATTTAGCAACTCTGAAAGCAATCAAAAAAAAAAAGGAATTAGCCATGCATTTGGGAGGGACAATATATTCATGTCTTTATTGTGCTTGCATTACTTTCCATTTCAAAATCTGAAAAACCTTTTCATAACGGTTTATTTAATTCCACTGTTTGCCATGGTCTCTGCACAGCAGACTCCTTTCCCTTTCACTTCAAATGGAACTCCTTTGTATGTAGCAATACATTGGTCATTGGTATGAAGGTCTGGTTGGATTTGCTCCCAAATCTTCTTCTTGGGATTAAGCTCCTTCTCTGGATCTCCTGTTTGAAAACAAAAAATAACCTAATAGCACACAACACAGAAGGCAGGATGAGAGCTACAGGTACATATGTCTGTGACAGCACAAACAGTAAGTAAAAACTTTATACTGTAAGTGGAAATCATATTATAGGACTATGAAATGTCTCTTGACCCTCTCTCTAAAGGATGATCTTTCAGAYGAAGAAAGAGTTGTAAGCAGTTAATAGACCACAAATACTGTCAAAATGATCAAATCACTATTACTTCTTAGATTACAACATTTAAGACCAAAAGGATCCCTACGAATTAGACAGCATAGTACTCCCAGAGACACAGATCTGTCTGTTTCCTAATTTTAGAAACTAATGACATCTCAGAAGTAATTTGCATTAAGTGAATTATGGCAGGTACCCTTTCAGCTGAGAAATATGSAAAATATACAAGTATAGTATAGAGTGATATACAATTTGAGTTCACACAGAATCACAGAATATTTAAGGTTGGAAGGGACCTCTCGAGATCATCTAGCCCAAYSTTCCTACTCAAGCAGGCACACCTASAGCATGTGACACAGGGTGGCATCCAGTTCTAAACTTCAACATTGTTCTGCTACTTTTCAAATGACTTGGAGACAAGTTCTAAAACACTAAAGCAACTGTAATATTACATTCTAAATATTCTGGTACTACTAGAGGCCAACTTGTACTTTTGGCCTCAGTCCCTAGTTTTCACATGTACACTGTGGTAAATTATCTATCCTCCAGAAGCAACAAGATCCTAACTAGATTAGAAAATCTGGCTCCTTAAGTATCTTTAATGACCACAACATTTAGATTTCTTCTACTAAAGCCTTGATATAGTGTTAACAAATTGTTCAGAATAGTGGAATATTTGAATCACAATATTTTTCAATGGGCATGAAATTCAAACTACAGGAACCAAAAAAATCAAAATGAACTCTCTTCCTCTTAAGATTTATAGTGCCTGCCAACATAATCTAGATGAGGCAAGACAGCCAATTCACTGTGCCATTTATTTTCATTTCCAAGGTCAAGTGAATTTCATTTCTAAATTCTAATAAAACACAGATCCTCTTAAAGTCAAACAASATTTCATTAAACAAACTTACTTAATCAAAATGCAGTCAAGTACTTTAACCCTTTTTGTGTAACACACAGGAAAGMAATAAAATTGCTTTTAAAAATATAATAAGGGCACATTTGAATCCCACAAGGGATCTCCACTCTATTTCATTGTTGATACAGAAAAYGAACAGAATAATTTTCCTTGCTGGGTTAGCCACTTTGGACCCATTCTGCCAATACAGCCAAAATCTTAAGTTACAGGAAAAAACAAGAATCAAATAAAAAATCCCAATGTGTAGAAGAAATTAAGTCTTTATACGATACAAGCAGGTCCGCCCTGAGACTTTCTCAAAGAAGCTCAAAGTTTCTAAAGGAAAGAGACACAGTTCCTAATAGCAGAACGCCAAATACTCCCATCTTCCACCCTAACTCCCCTCAGTGACACAGGCTGAAATACTGAAGGTCACAGGGATTTTGAGATAGGTCTTTTAATAGATGACTAAAACTTGTCATTATCTGCTGTGTTTGACTGGATCACCAACTTTTGTTTATGTGGATAAGTAAAGTCCTGTGACTCCAACCTGCCTTGCTATTTTTTCTTCCTTTCAGCCTTTTCAGTGATTCAGTCCACTTATGTTCTCAATGCTTGCAAAAACAAGCTACTTGAGCCTACAACTGGGTCTGTAGCTTCTGTACCTATCTGTAACAGAAAAAAAAAAAATCAACAGATCAAATACCTCTATTAAAGAAGCTAGCCTTGCCAGAACAAAATTCAATAATGCAGTCAATTCCACTGGGGCAGACTACTTGATATTTAATAGAAAAACACTACTACCATTAATAACCTAAATACTCAGGGCTAACTGAGCATTTTTGCAAAAATAAGAATCCTGTTTAATACTAAAGTTCACGAACAGAGACAGACGTGGATTTAGACCAAAGTGAATTCATATAGACCAATAAAATCATTAAATGGAATTTTAAACGATCCATTGTGAATTCCCTTCCCCCTCCCAAATGCAGGAAAGAAAAAAACACTTGGGCTTTTAAAGACCAAAAGCTGACTTCTATTATAAAAAACATGTTCTGGATGTTAATAAGTTTCTCTGGAATCCCACGTCAAGCTCCCTTGGGATCTGTGGTRAGCTCATGTTAGATTAGCATAGGCACCAACTTTAAATACTACCAGAGCTCTAAGCTGTGCAATTTCTTTTGCCTTYCCCTCACATTCCTTTCTTCCAGAAAATATTCTTTAGAAGAGTATCTATAAATAAAAAGAAAACTTGTAGTGATTTAATGCACTACCTCACCTTCTTTACCTAAAGAAATAAAGAACCAGACATCCCAAATGTTGTTAAAATGTCATTTGGTCTGGCAGTTTAAATATGATAGAAAAGCCCTCATAATAAGAAACCTTTCTACTTAGTAACAGCTCCGTAACTTAAGGGTCTATCTCAACACAAATGAAGACCGGAARGTATGAACTAGCATTATTAAAGTAGCTTAAAACAATATATGCTAGTTAACCCTTAAAAAAACCACACCTCTAGAACACCAAAGCATCCATACAGCAAAGCTTTAATCAAAGAAATCTGCCATATAAAGACCAACTGCAGTTCAGGTTCAACATTATTTATATTTTAGAGCTAGTTATTACTGAAATGTCAGGAATTTTTAGAMCACCACTAGCACTTAATCAGATAACCTGTGCAGCAAATTTGTGGTTCCAGCGGTATGTTTTGTAGGGAAGAATTTTACCAAAGCATCAAACTGTACTGCTACCAATCAGACTTCACAGTAAGCCATGAAAACCCCAAAGATTACTATCTTAAGGCAATTATGGTGTGGGAAGGTAAAGTATGTACATAACACAAGGAAGAATCTTAACATGAGGAAAAATTTTATGGCTACATTCATAAGGAACTTAAGGAAAAATTAAGGAAATTCCTTAATTTTGTAAGGAAATTAAGGAAAACAGTGAGGGTGACAGAGCACTGAAACAGGCTGCCCATAGCAGTTGGGGAGTCTCCTTCTCTGGAGAACTTTAAAACCTGCTTGGACGCAGCCCTGTGCCACGTGCTCTAGGTGACCCTCCGTGTGCAGGGGATCTGGCCTAGACGACCTCYAGAAGGTCCCTTCCAACCTTAAGAAATCTATAATTCTATAGATGAATCACTCATGAATAGTCTCCCACAGATTCTCCATGWCAAAAAAGTTGCCCTATATTTTGAAGCTTCATGCATTACAGCATTTTACTATCCTACCACCTAGTTCTCCCAAGGGCAACTGCATTAAAAGAGTTGTCACCTCTCATCCTCTAAAATAACTGAGGCTGGCTCTGAGAAAACTCAAGTTTTTCTGGGGGGAGGAGGGGTAAAAGTCAATTAGTTTGAAGCATGAAAGCCTGACCTTAAGTAAAATGAATAATAAAATTGGCCTATATCTCATTAATATATATAATGGAAGATCATAGGTTTAAAAACAACTTTAGTCMAGGCTGCTTGACTTTAGGCAGCTGTGTGTGTTTTAGAGCAGCTTTCTTGCTGTTGTTGATCTTATTGCTCCATTGATTTTCATATTTCAAACTAAAATAAGAATCAGTTGTCCTTTCTATTTTAATTTCAATGGCTCAAACTGGATGTTTATGGTTTGAAACTGCTCTAAAAATATAAATATCAGAATATACATGTTTATAATTAAGCATTGTGATTAAATGACATCTGAAATATTGCAGATTCCACATTCTTGATAATGTTGTCAGTGTGGTATCAGCCAGGAGGCAGCAGCTAAGTGTATGAGACTAACACATAAAAGCCATGTGGAAGATATGACGCCCCACTAAAATGAAAAGGAACTTGAGTTTTTAGTCCCTTAGGCTTTTCTTCATAAAAAACACCCTAACAATGAACAGTGTCAATATTACAGTTTCTAAAGGCAGCCTGCAAAAGTAGTACACTAGAAATTAAGCTATAGTATACATCAGTCTGATTTCACAATCTCGGTCCACTAATGCTATTTGTGGTGGTTTTTGTCTGMCCTTTTTGTACTCATCTCAAGGTAATAAAACTACAAATCTTAAAAAAAACTCAGTTTAAAAATCTAAATTTTAATTAACTGTTTTTAGTAAGACGGTCATTATACTATTAGGCAGTAACTACTAATCCCAGCACTCAATCTAGCAGACTGTATATTACCTATTATCAGTCTTATATAATCAGTCTAAAATCAGTCTTACAAATTTTAGGGGGAAAAAKTCATAAATCCTACAGTCCTTATGCAGTGAAATCCAGTAATATTTAACAAGTCTGTCAGTATCCTACAAATGTATTTATGCAACACAGCATACAAATTCTCTTCGAGCCTACTTTATTTAGATGATTCAATGTCCTCAAGAAATTAGGCCTTAACCAACAGCTCATTAACAACAAATCCACTAAAACTGCTACATACAGTTATGAGCTATCTTGAAGATTTAATCATTGCCATTATCGTCAACAGGAAGAGAGACAGCATGACTCCATCAGGCTCTCATTAAAGCACACAGATTCAGTAGGATTTGGCATATATCAAGCAGCATTTTAGACAGACTGGGCATGAAGTACTTTATATAGAGCTGCTCAAATGTCCATATTTTCAATGAATTGTTTTTATTTATTGAATAGGGTTATACAATTTTTCTTTTGGGGGGGGGGGGGGGGGGGAAGGAAGGAAGGGGGAATGTTTTTTTTCTTTTCAAGTTGTCGCTGAGGTATCCAACACCTCACTTTGCTATATGACCATGTGGAGCCAGAATGGCAGACCTAAGGCTCTTTCTCCTCAACTTCGCCATCCTTCTTGCTCTAAAACCTCATAAAAATAAGTGCAGAAAGGAATTTGGTGAACAAACTCCAGCCAATTTAATCAAACACAGAASAGCTAAAACCTCTTGTAAACCATTGCAATCATCCCTCCTCTACTCCTTTCACCTTCTACAYGACACTTTTGAACTTGTATCCTCTTTAAAGTTATACATTCCTTATGGTACACTTCCATCATGCACCTGGAACAAACTTTTGTGGACAGAAACCAACAACTAATTTTAAGGCCTAATCTATATAAAGTTCCCTATCTCTAAGAAAAAAAAAAAAAAACACACAACACCCAAAAAAGATGAACCTATTGAAATAACTTGTACTGGTATCTCATTTGGCTCCTACATGAACTTTGGTACATTAGGTATTCTTAAAAATTCCTCTAACCCAATACTATTATAAGCATGCTTTTAATTTGTGCTTATATGCCTGTTACCTTATTACAAATCAACTATTTCTGCCAATGAATAACTGTTGAGAATATAAGAATTTTCTTCAGAACTACCAAAGTAGTACAGTTTAAATCCAAGTGTTTTCAGCTTCTCCTCCTATTTCACTCTAGAAAATTTAGAAAATACACTGCTCTGCTTTGCACTGTTAAGTGCGAGGCAGATGTTCCAAAGGCAATGATTAGCTTTAGTACCATACCTACAAATCCATCTAAACAGCTATTTCTCCAATGTAAGGAAACAGCTGCCATACTTCAGACTACAATTTATAGCACTGTATGTATGCACTTTTCAAATGGGTTGTAAAAGCCTTCATTTAGCACTTATCAAAGCTCCATGAATGTCTTTGGCTCCCTATCAGAAGGAAATCACTGTAAAGCGTACAAAACTTTAACATTGCAGGCTGGAGGCCAGAAGTTTCATTCTTGAATGAAAAGCTTTTACACCACTTTTTGCTTATTCTACATCTTCCTGGAAAAAAAAAAAATCTACAGAGTATCAGTATACCTTAACACATGGGAATAATTTTGAAACAAATGTTGCTATAAAACAATTTTTCTAGGAAAGCTTTTTGGAACTCTAATCACAAATTTAAGTATTTTTTTTTCTTTTTCATAAAACATGTTTCATTAGTCCTCATGTACAAGAAGAGATAGGCTGAATAACACAGCTGAACAGCAATACTACCAACTCATGTTTTTAAATGCCACATTTAAGAAGTGATTTTTTGAGATATGAGTTTGGAGTAACAGTATGTCTTAGATATAGAAAAAATAATAAAGAAAATCCACACACCAGGTTGGCTAGCTCCTTATTTTGCAGGGCTCATCTACTAGCAGGATTTATTTTMAAGGAATAAATCAAGAGGCTGAAACACTCACACATCCATTTATTCAATGGCAAAAAGAAATACAGATGTATTACTGCACACAATAGAAAGTGCACACCTAATAGATAATATAACTTCATTCATATACAGGTGATATAGGCTATTAAAAGTTATGATTGATTATTGCTGCTGTTCAGCCTATTTGCTGCATGATATATGCATCCATCTCACCAATTCTGTACCTAAACTAGCAAACTTGGTCTATTTTAAATGCAAAAAAGAGAAAATGAAAAATGCTGCAAGACTAAGTTCCTTCTTAAACAAGATTGTTTTCAATCATAGCCCTAAATCACTGCATGCTGAGCTTGCCTCCTATTTTCAAAACACCTATCTAGAATCTTTCTCGCTTAACGATATACCAAGTGAATTATTTTTGTGGGTATCCAATTTGCAATCCTGAAAAGCACTTATATAAAAGGTGTGTTTAAGAAGCATTCAGCTTGCCAAGTGGTTAATAGATTAGAACATCTCCTACAGCTGGAAAGCATCAAAAGCACAATAGCTTAAAAAGACTGGAATGATTCTAAGTAGAAAACAGAAACCCGTATGTGTGATAGGCATAGCATACATACAACTTCTTCTTCTCAATATGGTAAGGAATGTTAGTTACAGGCCATCTTTGCTTGGCATAACTTGAAACCTTGACAGAGATAATAAACCAGCAACTGACTGTGCCAAAAAGGCCAACTGGAGTGGAGAAACTGATTYTGGACATTCCTCATTCACTCTGTCAGAATAATGAAACATCCTCTGAGGCAAAAGGGAAGCTCTCATTGCTATGTTACATCCATGATGCTTATTTGACTTAACTGGATGCAGTCACAAATTTGGACTTAATAGATGGGATGAGGCAAGTAATTAGAAAGAAGTAGAGGGATAAATGAAGAAAAACCATTTCATGATGAAGTTGAGATTAACTTGTAAGAGTAAATAAGTTTGCTCATACATTTGCAAAGCAGAAATACTTTTTCAAACTTCACACTTTAGAAGTAGGTAATTTTATATGAAAGCACTCTAACTTCTTAGAATTATAGTTTCTTCCCTACATCTTTAAACTTTTGTCTCAGAGATACTTTCAATGCTTTATTTACAAAATCACAGCATGTTAATTAAAAAAATTATTACTTATTTAGACGATTTGAAACAAACATAAACGCAAGTAGTTTTAAAATACTGCTATCTGCATCAACACTGAAGTCACCTTGGCAATGGTTAACTGTTCCTTGCAATTTCCCCACTTCCCAAATACCTATTGCTTACCAGGATAACCTTCAAAAGTGATTCTTTCCCCAGGTACTGCCCCTGGCGGGGGAGCCAGAATTTCCACTTTTTCAGGAGAGCTGGCACACATCACCATTGCTTGAGATACTACTCCTCTCATCTTGGCAGGCTTCAAGTTACAGAGTAGTATCGCCATCCGATTCTGCATCTTAGGGAAAGAAAACAGAAGGATATAAGTACTTGTACTCTTTATGTTTTTGGGGACTGTAATTACTCTCTACAACAGAATTACAAAGAAGGGATCTTAATGTCCACGAAAGAAGCATATAGCAATAGAAATACAATTTTAATCTTTGCATACTAGTAGCAGCTAATATAAGTCGTTTGAGACAAACTCATCCAAACTCATTTGTTCAACACATAGTCAAATCTGAGTATAGAGTGAAGAATGCACATCATCAATACAGAAGCTTCCAGCATCTCATCCATGTTCCACCTTTCGATCAGCACTTCAGTCCACTCTCAGTGTTGTAAAACTAGCCAAAAGAATTTCCATCAAAAAATGAAACTCAAAAACGTCACCCCACACCTCCACAAACAATGCCATCTCTTCAATTAAGTCCTGCATTCTGAAAATGTACAGGTGATTTATATTACAGATTTAACAGGAGTTACTTCTGTATCTATTTAGTCCAAATGGCAGGAATTTTTTTAACACACTGAAAATGGCTGTACAAACTGTGCACAATTGTTTGTTAGTACAAAACCGTAAGGACTGTTTTCTTCTGCCCACTGTTGTATTAGTAAAATGGTAATGGTAAGCCTGAGAAACCACACGTTGTGAGAGCACACAGCAGCTTATTACACTAGGAAACAAATCACATTTTCAATTAAGTAGAAATTAAACCCAGATTGCCCCAAAGAGAGAGAATGCCTTATTTCCCCTATTCCTAACAYATATAAACATCCCTAAGTATTTATAGATTTCAGTCTTTGCATATTAAGCTATGATGCATGCATATTAAGCAAAACTGCATGACTAACATTTAAACTCATATGATTAAGTATTCTGAGTACTGCACAAGTTCCAAGTAAACCATTAAAAAAAGACAAAACTCAAACTAAGCAGCTGAAGTATAAAACAATAGCCTGATTATATGCTTGATTTCACAAATTTCAACAATTTTAGTTATTAGTTCAACACTAACTGGAAAAAAATGGAGATCGCTTATATATTTTAGATTTTACAACTGAGAAAAAGCAGATCACATCAATACATAAGCTGCGAGAGTCACCTTCAAATTCATTCTGGAGAAGAAAAACACAAAACCAAAACATGTGTGGAGTCAAAACATTCTCCAATGTAAATGCTGCATAGGACATCTGTTAGAGAAGTTGCTCCTTACAGAATTAAGAAATATTCATCCATGTTTCAAATATATATATTGCAACCATCATTTTTACCAGGAATTATCTTAAATGTTTGACCTTTACATTAACTTAAAATACTTTTGACTGCTCTATTCCTAAACTATGTGTATTAATTTCACAGAAAGAAATGCTACAAGCCTTTTTAAATATAAACTATAACTTATTCTTATTAAAAATATTATTTTTGCTTCAAATAGTTCAAGTTTTAAACCATGTTCAGATAAGTAACAGTTCCCATTGTACAGAGAAAAAAAGACTAGTGACATCCATGGCCTCTATCTGTAAACCTTTAGATTAGAGGCACAAAAAAAGACATTCTAGATTTTCAGAAGCAGGTATAAAATAAATTGGAGTGTTCACTGACACTGATAAGATCAGGTTGAGGAAAAAAATGAGAAAACTGATTCCCTTTCCCAGTACAAGAAAACTTCCATTACAAATACAGAGTGACACTGAAATGCAGCTGAAGGGGAAATGCATAGTTTCACTCACACATATGTTTCCTTGTGCATATATCTCATCTTACAGTAAGGAAACTCCTGGCTAAAAAGAACAGGGCAAACCTCTACGCTTCAATTACACAAACAACAACAAGTCTGTGTCTCAAGGGAGCAGATAAGACTTTGGCATATTAGGAGGTGTTTAGTACATAAAATGAGCTGAGAGTAAACAGAGGAAACTCRAATGTTATCTACTTGAAATAATAGTGACTTCAGCTGGTCTTCTAAAAATCTAGTCCTTTTGCTTCAGGAATCCCGGCACTTCACAACTGACAACTAGACTGGTGAGAAACCGACACTAACCAAGACTTTTTGCAGTTCTGCAGAAACTCAATTGATTTCTATGGCTGGACAAACSGGTATGTCAGGTGCAGAAAAAAATAGCAAGACACCAAGTTTTCCCAACACACTGGTAGAATAAAGAGAAAAGCATGGTGAAGACAGAAAGACAAAAAGAAAAAAAACACCAATCAAGCAAACAAAAAAGTAGAAATAGTCCAGGAGGTTGTCGTGGAAGAAAAAAAAAAAAAAAGAAAAAAGAAAGAGCTCATCTTTGAGGGACCTGTGTTAAATTTGTGCATTTCCTTAGGTGAGCCTTGAAGTCACCAATCAAGCTACCAGCTATTTCCCTGTATGTCAAAGTGAGGTACCATGACAGCATATACTGGCTAGTAAATACAATTTAAAAATCAACACACAGATTGCTTTAAAACCAATTCCAACAACAACAAAAAGCCCTTCTCAATTTATTATGCACTTGTCTGGATCTACAGTTCGCCAACAAACATAATATATAAACCACAAACTCTGCTACATAGTTATTTCTACCTTTTTTCTATCCACAAAGGAACAAGTTAAYGTTTAATATAGACTTGCTGCTGTATTCTGTAGTCTTAATGCTACAAAAGCAGTAGAAAACTGTGTTCTTTAAAAGGAAAAGTGTATTAAATTATACAGGAATTGCGATGATTTTTACAGTTGCTCATACTCAAGTCACTGCATACATATGGTTTAATGATTAGTTTGGCTATTGTTTTCAYGACTGTAAAAACTACTTAAATGAATGAAAGCACATGGTATAAATAGATGAAGGTCATAGAGATACTTCAGGAAAGGAAAGGTTAGTAGTAAATACTTTTTTATAATACCTGGTCCAGAGGAACATGTTTCACTAAACCACTGACAACAGTCCTTGGGCTTGCTTCACCAACATCCACTTGCTCAACATATAGTGAGTCTGCATCCGGGTGCTTTTCTGCAGTCAAGATGCAGCCAACACGAAGATCCAGACGAGAAACATCTACAGGTTTTGAGTCACTACTTCCAGCAGCTGGCTGCTGTTTCTTCTCCTTCTTTTCAGCTAATGACACAAATTTAATTAAAAAAATAATAAATAATAAAGAAAAAATCAAGTATATGACTATCTGCAAGGGAAGACAATCTCAGACTGAAGTGCAAATTCAGTGCAAAATATCCATGAACCATACAGCGTTAACATTTCTATTACCAATTTTCAGGAAAGAACTGCCTTATAAATTGCATTCATAATTTGTTTAATGAATAACAATCTTTAGGGTGTTAAGATGTGTATAAAGTGATTATTTAAAATGAGTATATTCTGTTATTTCTCATCCTAAAAGGCTTACTTATTAGCTGCAGTTTACTAAACTTCCATCTCTAGAGAGCAAAATAAAAGCAGACACAGCAGCTAATTTAACTCACTTACCATTACTCTAATACAATGTTGACAGTCAACCACATGTTCAAAAAATTAATAGYAATATTAGGCAGTATATTTTAATGTAAACAAGTAGCCTTCAAAAATATTTCAACTCATATATGATGCATAAGAATTGTTAATATATGATTAAATTTATTAAACTACTAAAGTATATTATACTTTATAGTAAATAAATAGTAAATACTATTTATTAGTCAAGTATAATAGGGATATACAATAATTGGAGAGCACCTGAACCAGAGGTTCAAGGTTGCAGTACACTGAGAATTAAATAGTGCATGAACATGCACACATCTCACTGCAAAAATCAAATTGCACTGTATATCACTATAATATTCTCATTCTGCAAGTGCATAAATCAGTTCACAGCAAATAAGAATGTGTATAACAGAATGAGTGTAAGAGATGGTTCCACATAGGAACTTGTACTTTACTGTAAATACAATCAATTCTTATGCTTTCCTCTCAAAAGCATTTGTTAACACCATTAAACCAGAGACGGCCAAAAAAAACAGAAAAAAAATGTATTGGAAAATGTAGATAATCTCCCTACGTTCCCCTCTATGCTGCCAAACCACAGTATGCTATTTACATAATTTCCCCAGTAATTCCTCCTATTCACAGTCTCATCAGTGCTGGTATGGATCTATCTTATCAACGTCTCTATGAATTTTGCAGGAAGGAGGGAATAAGAAGCATTTTTACAGGATGTAGAAAACCAATTTTGCACTCCTCCTGTAGTGCTGTTTTGCTACTTCTTACAAGATATTTTTCTGAGCTTTTGCTTGAACTGTTTCCATGGCGGGAAAAAAAAAGCCATCTGAGACTCAGAACAGGTTGCTATCCAGTTGGTTAAGAAAAACACCCTCACTGTCCTTTCCCCTCCCCCCTCTTTTTTTTAAAAGGGAATTCAGTCAAATTAAAACAAATTTGACAAGTATTCCTTTTAAGAGGATACAGCTTACCTGATGGCCTGATTATTTTCAAGTACTTCCTAGACTTTAAAAGACTTAGTACACAATTCTTCCTACTTTGTCTATAACTGTTTCTGTCTGAAGACAGATGTAAAGGCAGTTCCATAAATTAAACTCCATGACTGTCATCTACAATTAAGAAAAATAAAAGTACCTTTTTTTTCTGCTTTGTCCTTCTTTTTCTTTTCTTCATCTTCACCCTTAATTTCATCTTTGGCACCAGGAGAGGATGTGACTGCTGCAGGCTGTGAAACATCTTCTGAAAATGAAGCTGCAGAAATGCTTGAATCAGAAGGAACTGCAATTTGTTTTACTAAAATTAAAAATAAGAGAAATTAGATGGGATAATAGAACTTCGAACAATACGGTATTGTAAGTACAAAGCACAGATTTGCTTAAAATGTCTAAATAAGTACAACTGCTGAGCGGTAAAGAGCAACACTACAAAATAACAGAACTCAATCTATAGATGATTATGCTACTCAATGAAGGACAATGCTATTGACTACTCATTTTTTAAAAACAAAAGAAAGCTAAGAAAATGCATTTGAAAAGTCTTTTTTTTTTATTCCAATACCTAATTATCTTTGCTTTTCAAGTCCTTATTTCTCTATTTTCTAYCCCAGCCCCTTTTTTTTTGGTCTGGCTTCAGTTCCGTCACTAGCTCTTGCCATACTGTAAGCTATTCTGTAATTTTCTCCCTATGAAATCATTTTTACATTGCAGTCAGATCACTTCAGCTCTTCTTTCTGATTACCTAGTGAAAGYGAGTTTGAACTGTCTCATTCCAATACATTACCTACAGCCATAATACTGTACATTAGTTTCTCGCTACCCCTCCCACATTCTCCATATTTTCTTTTTTTTTCTAAATAATTCACACAGAATTCTGGATACCATCTTAGTATATATACATTACAAGGAAAACAAGGAAAGGAATTGACTCCCTTCTAYTTTCTATGCTTCAGGTCATCTCATTAGTGCTTTTTATCATAGCATTGTACTGTAAAATCATCATTATCAACTGACTGCTGAATCCTTCCAGCGCTACTACTACACAGTTCCCCATTCTGCATGCTTCTTACAGCATTCTACATTCTTTTTACACTCGTGAACTTTTCTTCTAAATATGTAGTTCTGTATTCAATTGACTTTGCAAGATGATCTGTCTGAATAGCAAAAACTACCAAAAAAAGAACATAATTCTATGTTACTGCATTATCTTTCTGGTAGTTGGTGCTCTGATGATCCTCTCACCGAGAGGAAACATCATTTATAAAACAGTGATCCCTTTAAGGATGAATATGACTATGAATATATAGTTTTTAACATCCAAACAGTCAGCATATTTGAATGCCAGCATCCACCTGGACTTAATGCCATCTTAGCTAGCTTATCTTCTGAAAAAAGCACTGATGGTGCTGGTAAAAATGATAATAGTTTTAGAGGGCAAAAGAGGCTTTCTCTGAAAATCACTTCAAAACATGTTGGATTTGAAACATTAGTTTCAGCTTTTTTCCCCTGTCAAATATGGAATTATATAATGATGTTAGGAGCTGAATAGATCTACACAGAGGAGTGCAAATATGACATTGTCATGTATTTTCTAATAAGTTGTTGTCCATTTGTACTTTCAACTATGAATTGATTTTTCCATAGGGATTCRAGTTTAGATAATTGAAATATTTAAAGCGTTTACCACTCAGCATTTTCTGAGGACCTATAGACACCAACCAAATCTGGCACTCATTATGAAATGCACTGTACAAAAAGACAAGAACAAGCTCTGTGTTTGATTAAGATTTGGCATATATATGTCACACCAGCAGCTTACTAAGATGTTTGCAGTAACTCTGTAGATGACTTTTCATAGACATGGAACCCAGGAAAGGCCAAACTTTAAAAGATGTCAAAGCCATTAAAAAAAAAAAATCACAAAACATGAACAAAATGGCCAGATTTATATTGTGCAAGGATAGGACTCTTCCCACCTCCATTTCGAATTTCTGCCTGAATAAGCTCCTGCTTCAGACCTTCAATTTCTTTCTTCAGTTTAGCATTTTCTACACGGAGCTTCTTCTCTTCTCGGAGAGATGCCTGCAAGACTAGAGTTGACATTATATTAAAAATGAGAAGCTACAATAACTAGTATTCATCATTTGCTAGACGGGGGATTCATTTTCAGAAAAAMAAAGTAAAATATGGTGAACTCCAGAAGTGGGAACTTTCACGGAGCATATTGTTAGGAATATTATAGAATCAAGGTGACCCCACTGCCCAGCCAAATCACAAGACAGTGAAGAGGCGCTACTACCACAAATTTGATCTTAGAGAACCTGAAACACACTTAAAAGGCTGACAGCACCAATGAAGTTGTCTGTGCTCTCATTTTTTCCTATGAGCATTTAATGTTCACCATCTGGTTATCAAGTTCATCATAATATGCAGAATTCCTTACTAGCTTTTTCCTTGAGCAGAGCAACTTGCTGCTTGAGGTATTCAATAACTTGATCAGCCTCTGCACCTTTCTGCTCCAATCTGTTCAACACTGCACTGTTGGCTGCCATTTTTACCAAGAAACGGGCTAAAAACCTAGACAAACAGGAGAGAGTCTAAAATTAATGATTTGCAAATATAACCAACACTACCATCTTATCATTTGAAATCATTCTAAAATCAGTTGCTGAACAAGAAGATTTGCTAAGCGAACAAGCTTGGCTCCCATCTCCTAGCACCAAGCCCAAATAAAAGGCAATGTTAAACAGAATCTGATGTTTGACAGCTGCTTTCAAGTATTTTGAAACGGGGGGGGGGGGGGAAGGCTGCTTTTCTTCCCAGCTTCCCAGCTGCAGAAAACATGTTCTAACTTCACACAACAGATAAAAAAAATACACCTTCTGAGAAAGAAAGGTCCAAAGAGGTAGAGTGAATAAGTAGGGATGGGGAAAAAAAAGAGAAAAGGTTAGACTGGAGAACAACGCATCCTGTTTTTATCTGAAAAATTTTGAAGTGTACCCAAAATTCTATTAAGAGTCAGAAAATAAAAGAGTCCCATAAAAATTTCCAAACTTCTCCAGTAAACTGATTTAAAATGTACCAAATGCTTTATAGATTGAGGCTGTATATAAACACCAAAACTTCACTGATGTTTTACTTTTAAGCAGAACTCATCAGTACCTTTCCTCAACTCAGAAYAGTGCAGCTTTTATTACAGAATTCCAGCTTCAGAATTTTTCCAGTGCTGAAGTACCTTCTCTCATGTTGATTTTACTCATATGGAAGGCAAAGACATCCAGGTAAAAAACGTGAGCAACAGAAAATACAAGTGAGCAGAAAGAGCAATAGCACAAGTAAGTGCTGCCTAGCCTACTTTTAAGGTGTCCAGCTGCTTTTACTGGGGTTCTCTGCTCYTCTGGCAACTAGTTGTGCCTTTATTTGTTGAAAGCCACCAAATTTGCTTCAATTTCTCTCTGCAACAATTACAGCTCAAATATTAAAGACAATAATGGAACAGTAATCAATCATACCTGCAACAATGTGTTTATGCTCCTATCCATTATTTAAAAGTTAAGAGAATTTGCATTACCAGCTGCCACAGCTGTAAATCCAGGAAGAAAAGATTATAAGTGGAAGGCAAAGATGCCTTAAAGATCTTCACTAGTAACAACAAGGTAGTTCCTGTGAAATTGCCTATCAAGTGCACTAAAGGGAAAGAGCGAGGGAAAACAGTAAGCTAATTCTATGCTTAGGCTCCTCAACTGTATGAGTGTCCAAAAATAATTTTTCTCACATCAAGTTGCCAAGAAAAGATCCTCTTTTATCACAAGATTATTTTGACACCGTGACCTGACGTATCAGTGCTCTCTGCTGAGCCGCACTGAAGATGGAAGATGCTGGAAACAACTCTAAGAACAAGCCCAGTCACATTCACCCCAGGGACTGTGCATCGCTTGTGCTGCGCTCTTGCTATCAACTTGCATCTGAGGCTGCAACTTCTGCTCCAAGGAACACAATTCTCCAAGGCCTTACATCTCTTTCCCTCTTCTGTAACCAAGGAACAGGGTAATTAAAGCTTGTTGACATAAAATACACAAAGGCAGAGATGCACTGCTCAGTGATGATGCATGGCGTATATCCTCCTGCAACAACAAGGAATGAATCAACACATCTTCTTTGTAATTCAGTAATAGGGCAGCCTGCTTTAGGCATATCTTTTACCTCAAAGTCTACCACTTCATCCATAAAAGATTTCTTCAGAAGAAACAATAACTTACATGAGGAGGAACAGAAAGAATTTTCTTGCCAAGGCAAGTAACTAATATTCAAATTAATCTCTAAGGATAAAATAACACAATTTCTTTTTCAYATGTACCAAGCAGAAGCTATTATTTAAGTCTGTAATAAAACAGAGCGTTTTAAAGGCAGTGTCCACTAAGTTATTGATTTAGATATCAAATGGAAATAACACAGAATGATTATGGCAAAATACAGCACAATACAAAGCYCAGGGTATTACTGTCTGCATACCAATAAGATTTCTTGCAAGCTAGATAGTCTCATGGGGGAACAAAATAATAGCAATGGAAACTCTGCCAACAACAACAAAAAAAGCTACTAAAACTTCAAAGTGAAGAGAATTGGTACATTTTACAGTTTTTAGCCAAGCTGGCTAATGAACTGAAGATCTGGAAATCAAGTTACGTGATTACAATGGGTAGATATTTTCCCACTTGTCAAATAAATTTCTATAGAGTTAGTATTAWAAGAATAACACAAACGAATAGGTATTTCCGATAGTAATACAAAGCACCAACAGACCGAAATGAACTGCAGCGCAGGCACAGGAAGCCATAAGGTATAAAGCAATAAAAAATTACCTAAAAAGGGCAATTGTTTCTTTTAAGATCTACCTTTACTATAAAACACAAACCACATGAAAAACATTAGTGCTGCCACAAGCAAAAGCTATGATTTTCTCTTGTTCTGGTTCTTTTGCCCTTTGTTGCTCTGCTCCACACTAAAAGAAAAAATATTGGTGATACTCTGAAACTAAAAACAGGAAAGAACAGCAATTACATAGCTTAAAGAATTTTAACTTATTACAGATACATCCTGATGTTCTTCAGAAAGTGTCCAAGAAGTCATTTAAAAGTACACTCACACCATACAGTTGTATCTAATTAGCTGCTTTTCTTTCTTCATATAAAAAAACTAAATGCAGAAAACAAGGAGTAGCTGTAGCAGTGGCTATTCAGGCCTCCTTGAAAAGGAGAACCAACGCAGGTTACCTTGCAGCTCAACTGAGGGAAGCTCTTTAATCTCAGACCTCTATTACTTAACCACCTGCCAGACATCTTGAAACCTACCTGCTCTTCTACAATGAGCCTCAAGCTTTGGATGAAGCATACAGGTTTTGCAGGTATTCATGAAGCGATATCAATCCATAGAAAGCTGTCATCTAATTTCTCCTCATCTCTGCTTGCTAACTTTTAAAATGTCTTCTTTTTTCCCCAATAGCAAACACTGCCTCCTGCAGCCTATTAAGCAGCTGCAGTCCCTTAACATGAGAAAGCCAGCATTTCTCTACTTTCTTTTCCAAGAAAATGCAACATGGAAGAGTCCCCAAAGAGTCAAACATTCTTAAATAAATCACTAATTCTCAAAGAGCAAAATTATCCACAAAATCAGTATCTCTTACAAATACTGGTTTATCAAAATTGGCCCATAGCTTAAAATATGTCTCATGTACAARTTAATCCACCAAGATGATGTTAATAATATAAAACTCGGTGCATCTTGCTTTTCAATATTAACATTCTGTTTTAAAAGCAAGACAAAGTCCCAAAACCCATAAAATTAATGTTAAGATTCAAATCTTAAACTCTAAAAATTGTTTTTGGAATCTATCCATAGTCTTAACATGGAACCAATTACTTTTCACTATTGGAAAAGCAATTATTTAACCAAAAAATAGAATTTGGAAGCTAACTGATTCCTAAAACCTAAAATAATTAGCTCTAGGCATTCCAGTTCCCAGCTGGAGGTTTAAAGGAAAAAAAAATACAAAAGGAAGCCAGGACTTCTAAATTCTCAGCTTTTTCTTGCTATGCTTTGATAACATGAGTACACCAAACGGCATTACTAACTACAAGCTCTAAACTGCAGGCTGCCTACTACCACTTTTTACCCACAGATCACTATGCTCCCTCTACACACACTGAGTATGTCTATGGCAAGGATGCAAATTTTAGCTTAGCATTTTCAATTTAGTTTTATGCTCTTTTCCCAGTTAACATCTAGTCTGTTTCTTTTTCTCATAATTTTCTATGGGTCTTAGTGCAACACAACCAAACGTCATGCACATTTAGGTCAACCGCCATAGGCTTCCATTGACAGACACAAGATTTTAAAAGTTTTCTCTTAGATCATGTGAAATAGATATATGAAGTGGTTATGGCTGTGTATTCCTCCTCTTCTGCATATGCCCACATCTTCTCAATAAAGAGGATTAACTTTCACAGGTCACTGCCCCTACACAGTGTTCTCCATCTCATTGTGGCTCCTCACTTTGTGCTAGCTAGAGAGGAAGAGAGGATTTCTGCATCAAAGCTAATCCTACCCATCTTCATAGATGAACAGCAACCTCAAGACAGCCTCCACAACATCAGCATATTCTCTACAGCAAAGGCCACTGACACAAACAGTGGCTCAAGATCTAAGTTCAGCCACTCTGGGAGAAAATAAAACTTCATTCAAAACAAACTAACAAGCAGTCACATTGACTTTTCAACAGAAGCACTGTTTATATTAGAGACTGTAATTATGAAGCAAACCAGTCATTCCAAAGCAAGACCAGTGCTACTAACTTTATTCTGTAAGTATGTTATTAAAAACACAAGATAGTCAAATTACTTCAGGAATRAAGTTCACTAACTATACAAAAATATTTATGACAACACCTCTTCCTAAGATTTTAAGTCTTAAGACTCAAGTAGGTCTCAAAACAAAAAGCCCTCTTCTCTATCAGAGGTTTCAAAATGCTTCATTTTGGCCAACTGGTACAGCAATGTATTCTAATTCTCTGTAAGACAAAGGTTCTCARAAATCACTTTCTTCAAAAAGAAAGAAAAAGCATGTTCAAAGACTTTTCTGAGTATCTTTTTCTGGGATGGTCATTTTTGGCAGAAAATCTTATGAAAAATCGTAAATATAACAGAACATGCCAGCTGTTTGCCAGATTCTGGTTTCCTGTACTATGCACTTCTATGAACTGTCAGGGCACACAGCCCCTCAGAGTTAAGCATTTCACATCACACTTTTTTACTCCACAAAATATTGAACAGTAGGCATCAGCTTAAAACAGAAAAAATAAAAACATAATACAAAGGGTGAAAAGCATTATCTTTCACTAAACTAAACGACCAGTATAAAGAGATTACTCCCACTAATTTGTCTCAGGGAATCAGGGATCATTCTTCAAAACAAGCTTTCTTTTATAAGTTTCTCTGAACTGCTAGTATTCTGTAGTTTGGATCTGACATTGTAAACAACATAGTCTAAGATGTGCAAAGACAAAAAAATTGGTAGAAACG